GCACTTAACAACAACAACAACAAGACTCCAGTCACTACTCGCCAAAGTAGGAGGTGGGAACAATGTTTTATGTACTATGTTATGCCAATTGAACTTGATGTCCCCTGCGACTATGGTCCCAAGCCCACAAGTTCAACTACTCGGTCTCTCTTGGTAGCTGGCTGTGACCAAGCAGTGACTACAACCTTGCCCCTTGTCAGCTCTACTATACACCTGGGAATTCAGATCACACACATAAACTTACAGGATCATTGTCTACCAACCCTATACATGTTCTTGGGTACACTCCCCACTTCATAGAGGCACCTACTGAATTTATTTGGATTTTCAGATGTTTTTATAGCAAAAGAAAATTCAAGATCATAACATTGTAATCAGCTAGCATGTCTCTGTATTCTCCTTTTATCTAGAACAATTCCTATTTTAATTTTTTTTATTGTGACTTGGGTGAATGTTAACAGAGAAAATTCATTTTCCATATAACAGTTCATACAGAGTTTGTTTCATGAATTCCTGAATTGTTCTGTGTTTCATGACTTGTCATTTTTGAAGATTACAGACAGGCAAGTTATTCTGTACAATACCCCCAACCTGGATTTGGTTGTTCCTCATGATTAAATTTAGTTTATGTACTTTTGGCAGTGAGACCACATATGTGCTGCTGATTTCTTCTCAGTGCATCATGTCAGAGGTACATGCTGATGTTTCATTGCTGGCAATGTTAACTTTGCCCATTTGGTTAAGGTGCTGTGTGCCAGGTTTCTCCACTGTAAAGATACTATTTTACCCTTTGTAACTAACGTCTTGAGGAGATACTTTGAGACTAAGTATCCTGTTCTCTTCAAACTTTCATCCAATAGTGTCAGTATCCATTAGTAATTTTTGCCTGAATCAATGGTTATTATGATGGCTGTCAAATGATGATTTATCTAATGCCATTTTTCCTCGTACACTTATTAGTTAACATTTTACTGTAAATAAGAGCTTTCCCTTTTAGTTGTATCAGTGTGGACTCACAGAAATTTATTGATTCAATAGGTTATAATCATTTACCATTATTATTTTGATACTCATATTATCCCTGATTTGGACAGTGGTAGCTCTTACAAGCTCTACTTCCTGTTTCCTTCTGGACTGTCTCCATCATTCTTTGAGCACTTCCTTACTTTCTACCACTATAAGATGCTCCAGGCTTATCTTATACTTTTTCTGCCCCAGTCCTGGAACCAGCTATTTTTCCACAGAGCCCAGTAACTATACATATTAATTATAAAAATTAATTTTTTTCTCTTCCCGTAAATAAAACTTTCAATACCTTTTGTTGAATCCATTCCTCCAACTGCAAATAATGTACCAACAGTTGACTTCCTGGGTTTTGTCCGAGGACTCTGTAACATGGGCCGTCTCTCTGGTAATAAATGGTATTTCATTGCTTCCATAATGAGTTTTTGACATTCTATATCATCTCGAAAAAGTGCGTTATTTTCCATGTCTGCCAGAAACTAGGAAAGAATAGAGAGTGTGCACAGTGAATGATGAAAAACTAAAGTTAAAGGAATAAATGACATAGTTTATAAACAGAAATTAAACATTAAAAAATTCATGTCTTAACATCTATGTTTAACTAAAATATGTAGTGTATAAAATTTACATTTTAAGTTTCACTGAAAAACAGAAATTGAGGAGAATAAATGATATACTCTAAAATTTTAATAGTGATTAAATCTTGGTAGTAGGAATTCA